CCCAAAGAGATTCTAAAAATGGGAAAAGTACTCACACGTATAAAAATATAGCAGCTCTTTCTATGGTAGCAAAGAAGTGGAAATTGAGGGGATGCCCATCAATTGGGGAATGGCTGAACAAATTGTGGTGTATGAATGTAATGGAATACTATTGTGCTATAAGAAATGATGAGCAGGCAGACTTCAGAAAAACCTGGAAAGACTTGCATGGACTGATGCTGAGTGAAGTGAGCAGAACCAGGAGAACGTTGTACACAATAACAGCCATCCTGTTCGATGATTGACTTTGACAGACTTAACTCTTCTCAGCAATGCAAGGATCTAAAACATCTCCAAAAGTGTCATGAAGGAAAATGCTGTCTGCATCCAGAGAAAAAACTATGGAGTTTGAATGCAGATCAAAGCATATTATTTTGCTCTTTTTTTCTTCTGTTTTGTTTTGTTTCTTTTTTCCTATGTTTAACAGGAATGTATATGTAGAGCCTCTATCAGATTACATGCTGTCTTAGGGAAAGGGGAGGAGAAAGAAGGGGGAGAAAATTTAAAATTCAAAATCTTATGGAAGTGAATGTTGAAAACTGGAAGTAAATTATTTTTAGATGTGTCTCAGGGAGTCCACCCACCACGCTGGGGACTTTCCTCTAGTTCTCTTAACTAGTTCATTTAACCCTCTTATTAGCACTGTGATACAAATAGAATGGTTATCCTTCCATCTTGTTATGTGGTTGCTACACAATTTCATTTCCATACACACAGCCGTCTCACAGTCACATATATAGTATACACTCACACACATACAGATAGTCCTTTACACTGCTTCCTTCTCCTATGCAGTTTTTCGGTGATATTATGTTACAGGTATTTCATGCTCACTATTTTCCTGTGGGTGACTCATAGCTGTAGTTCTTCAGGGCTATGGTTTTCCATGTCTCAGAGTCATATAGTATCACCTCTATGGCAGAATTAATTTTATAGGGTCTAAATGTAATCTAACTAACCATGTCCACTTTTAGTGTTGACTTGTTGATTTTTGAAACCAAGTATAGAATCCTCTTCAGAAATAAAGGATGGGGGAGACATAGGCTAGTCAATAGTTTGTGTGGAAAAAACCCCAAATCTGATTATTTTAACAGACTGAAAATTACATTATAAGTCATTTGATAGCCAACAAAATTAATGTTATTTTAAACTGGGTGGGGGAGGGTCTTACCTTTATTTTGTAACGTTGACCTCTTTGGCAGTCTGGTAAAACCAATAAACTTCTTCTCAGAATGGTGTTTTTAAATGCGTAAAATAAAATATACAGGATTATAGAGGAAGCCAATTAGATTGAAATGGTTATTTTTTTAAAAAATTCACAGATCCTCTGACATCTATTAGGGTCAGAGGACCCCAGATTAAGAACCCCCATTCTAGGCTCCATTGAGGGAGCCAGAGTGTATAGAGAAGTGGTTTACAATTTTTTTTTTTTGTTTTGCAAATGGCACAGAATTCTTTGTTAAGAGGAATCATGGCACATTGAATGTCTAAGGTGGTAACACAGTGGGAAAATTGGGAGAGTCATTAGTGTACAGTTTCTCTTCAATAAAAACAGCTGTTTTTATTGAGTTCTTTGCAAGTTCAAAGAGTGAGGTATTTTGAGGTTTGTGTGATCACCTACATAGATGAGTTTTATTTATTTTTTTGCCATACTATGAATGCTGGCAAGTAAAATTTAGAGTAAATAAAATTATCTAAACATTTTCTTATCGACAGTAGCATCCCAAAATTCATGGCAGACCTAGTGAAACTCATGGCATCCCAGTGTGCCATGAAACCCCCTTTCAGAGTCCACGATGGAGAATGTGGGAGGTCATGAGTGGGTCCTCTGCCCAGATCAGACAGTATCTGGAGTTCTGGGTTTAGTTCTGGATGCCACATTTTAGGAAGGATATTAATAAGTTGGAATGCATTGAAATGATGATGGCCAGGAGAGGGAGAGGTCGGAAGGCTATACCATACAAGTATCAATAGCAGCAATTCGAGATATTCCGCATCGAGAGGTGAAGACAGCCCAACATAGTGGCAGGTTTCAAGGGTCTGAAGTTGTAAAAAAGGACTTTGTGTTCTTATGTTCTTCTCTGCCTTTGAGGGTAGAGCTAGGGCAGTGGGTATAGGTGGCAAAGGAACAGTTTTAGAGAAAATATCCTGGTAATTAAAGATATCTGAAAGTGGAAAAGACTTCCTTTGAGGGATGATGGGTTTCATCTCCCTGGAGGCCTTTAAGCTAAGGCTGAATAATGACTTGTTGACAGTGTGGAGGAAGGGATTCTTGATCAGGTGTGGATTGGATGAGATGGCCTCCGAGGTCCTTTTCAAGACTGAAATTCTGCATCAGAAATGGGTTAGAAAAGAAACAATATATACATGTAGAAGGGTATAAAAATCTTCTAAATTTATGAAGCAAAAAGATGGTGAGGGGATAGGATAAAAGAGGGTATGTAGATTAAGAATTAGGAGGGTAGGGGAGAGGATAAGAGGGCAAAAAGATGGTGAGGGGATAGGATAAAAGAGGGTATGTAGATTAAGAATTAGGAGGGTAGGGGAGAGGATAAGAGGGGGACTGTTAGAGGGGCTGGTAGATTTAGGAATAGGAAGGCAAGGTAGTAGTTAGAGATAGGGTAAAGAGAGAAGAAGGATAGTAAGGCAAAATTAGATGAAGGGAAATACAAAACTAGTAATTATAACTTTGAATGTGAATGGGATGAATTTACTCATAAAAAGGAATGTGATAACAGAACGGATTAAAAATCTGAATTCAACAATATGTTGCTTACGAGGAACAATAAAAAATGAGAGATATACACAGAGCTAAAATAAAGGCTGGAATAGAATTTATTGTGCTTCAGCTGATGTAAAAAAAAAAGCAGGGGTAGCAATCATGATCTCAGACAAAGTTAACCCTAAAATAATTTAATTAAAAGAGATAAATAGGAAAATTACACTATATGTCATCAATATTATTCAGTATTGTTTTAGGTCATTTAAAATAACTGTAGATAGTATAAAATACCTGAGAGTATACGTGCCAAAATAGACCCAGGAACTACATGAACATAATTATAAAACACTTTATACAAATAAAGTCAGATTTAAATTATTGGAGAAGTATTAATTGTTTATGAGTAGGCAAAGCCAATATAATAAAAGTGGCAATTTTACCTAACTAATCTATTTATTCAATGTCATCCCAATTAAATTACTAAAAAATTATTTTACTGAGTTAGAAAAAATAAAATTCATTTGGAAGAACAAAAGATCAAGTATTTGAAGGAAACTAATAAAAAAAATGTAAAGGAAGGGGGTTCAGCAGCCCTAGACCTCAAACTACATTATAAAGCAGTAAATATCAAAACTATATGGTACTGGATAAAAAATAGAAAGGTAGATCAGTGGAACAGAATAGAAATGTAATACACAGTAGGAAAGGATTATAGTAACTTTGTGTTTGACAAATGTAAAGATTTAAGTTTTAGGGATGAGAATTCATTATTTGGTAAAAATTGTTGGGAAAGCAGTCTGGCAGAAATTGGGCATAGACCAATATCTTAAGCCATGTACCAAGATAAGGTCAAAATGGATACATGACCTAGATATAAAGGGAGATATCACAAGAAAATTAGAAGAACATGGAACATTACCTATGAGACTTATAGATAGGAGAACAATTTATGAAAAGCAAGAGAGAGCATTGTGAGGTGTGAAATGGATAACTTCAATTATATTTATTTAAAAGTTCTTGTACAGATAAAACCAATGCATCTAAGAGTAGAAGGAAAGTAGAAAATTGGGGGAAAATTTTCTTAGCCTTTCAGATAAAGGTCTCATTTCTCAAACATATAAAGAACTTTGTCAAATTTGTTAAAATACAAGTCATTCCCCACTTGATAAAAGGTCAAAGGTTATGAACAGGCAGTTTTTCTTTTACATTTATAATTTTATTTGTTTTTAGTTTTCAACATTCACTTCTATAAGATTTTTGAGTTCTAAATTTTCTCTCCCTCCCTCTGCTCCCCCTTCTACTAGATGGCATGCAATCTGATATAGGCTATACATGTACAATCATATTAAACATATTTCCACATTAGTTATGTTGTAAAGAAGAATTAGAACCAAAGGGAAAAAAACACGAGAAAGAAGAAAAAAAAGAGAGAGAGAAAATAGTATGCTTCAATCTGCATTCAGACTCCATAGTTCTTTCTCTGGATGTGAACAGCATTTTCCATCATGAATCTTTTGAAATTGTCTTAGATCTTTGTATTGCTGGGAAGAATTAAGCCTATCAAAATTGGTCATTGCACAATGTTGCTGTTACTGTGTTCTCCTGGTTCTGCTCATTTCACTCAGAATCAGTTCATTCAAGTCTTTCCAGGTTTTTCTGAAGTCTACCTGCTCATTGTTTCTTATAGCACAATAGTATTCCATTACATTCATATATCACAACTTGTTCAGCTATTCCCCAATTGATGGGCAGCTCCTCATATCCAATTCTTGGCCACCAAAAAAAGAGCTGCTCTAAATACTTTTGTACATTTTCCCGATTTTTTGTTTGTTTGTTTTCTTTGCTAGGCAATGGGGTTAAGTGACTTGCCCAGGGTCACGAGTAAGTATCAAGTGTCTGAGGCTGGATTTGAACTCAGGTCCTCCTGAATCCACTGTGCTACTAGCTGTCCCCATTTTCACGTTTTTATGATCTCTTTGGGATACAGACCTAGAAGTGGTATTGCTGGATCAAAGGGTATGCACAGTTTTATAGCCCTTTGTGCGTAGTTCCAAACTGCTTTCTAGAATGGTTAGATCAGTTTATAGCTCCACCAACAATGCATCAGTATTCCAATTTTCCCACATCTTCTCCAACATTTATTATTTTCCTGTTTTCTCATGTTAGCCAATCTGATAAGTGTGATATGGTATCTCAGAGTTATTTTAATTTTCATTTCTCCAATCAATAGTGATTGAGAGCATTTTTTCATACGACTATAGATAGGAACAGGCAGTTTTTCAAATGAAGAAATAAAAATTATAGTCACATGACTAATCAGTACTAACCAGTACAGTAACTTTGACCTCTATGTCCAGCCTGGGCCAGTTTGACCCTCCTGAGGTGTGCTTCTGGTCACCTTCTGCCTTGCTCCTAGGGGCTCACCCTATCAATGCCAAACTTAGTGGTGACTGTCAGTCAGCATAGCCCACTACAGCTTAGAACTCCAGCCCTCAAGTGATCCACTAGCTTCAGCCTCCCAAGTAGATGGGATTACAAGCCTTTCTACTTATTTTTACAATTATTATATAATACAATTATTATACAATTATAAAAATTATACAATTTATTTCATCAAGAAAGAGGAGGTTCAGAGACTTGTGGTGATTTGCTCAATGTCACACAGCTAGCTAATGGCAGAACTGAAGTTAGAACCCACGTCTTTGTACTCCTAATTTACCTCTTTTTTTTATCCACCAGAGCATACTGCCTCTGCAATTTTAAGTGTTCCCGTTGGGGAATTGAATTCCCATTTCTTATGTGACCAATAAGGATATTTACCCCCTACATCCTGATTTGAGAAAACAAAGGGCACATTCCTGTAGAATCATAGTTTGTTAAAATGTGAACGCCTAGAGAAGACTGGGTGCCGTGCCCATGTGATAGAAAGAGTTGAGCGAACCTCCTGTGGCAGGCATGAGGTTCACAAATAGAATTTTATAGAAGCCCCATGGAATTGTTCATCCCCTGAGTGCTTGAGTGGTTTAATTATGTTCTGGAATAGGTCTAAGGGGAAGTGGTAACTGGACTACTTTAATTCCCAAAGATATTTCAAGCAATAAGGAATCCACAGCATGACATTTTCCTAAGAATCTGACCTTCGTTGTGATTTGGGAATGGCTTGCTGCATAATTCCTTGATCTGTGAACCTAGTTGTATGTATTGGGGACAGTGCCCTACCAAGAATGTCTGGATTTAATTTGGCTTCCAGCAAATTTGACCTCATGCTAAGCAGCACTAGATGTGTATAGAAGGTGACACTTTTTAGTTCCATCAAAGAGACAAGGAATCAGAGCCTTCCGGGACATTTAAGGAATAGGGCCATGACTCCCAAAGCCTTGTCCTCATTAAGCATGTTTTTGTGATTTCTGCATCAAAGAGAAGTGGAGTCTTGTTCCTGGTCTGAAGACTGGCTGGAACAGGTTGTGTTGCCGGTATAGGAATTCTATGGGAGACACATCTGAAAAAAAAATGTCAAGGATTGTTCATGGAAAGATGACAAACTGGATTATAAAAGCAGGTGAAGCATTTCTTAATGAGTTTCAACCAATTTACTCTCAGGCCTTTTGTTGGAGAGTTATGCAGTTTCTTAGATGAGTTAATTAGGATGTTTTTAGACAAACAAAATGATGAAAAATTCATAGCCGTTCTATTGGCAGACAAATGTTTATAACACACATCCCCAGTAGGAATCCAGTGTTTTGGAAGAATTATTTTTGGCTTGTGCTCTACTTTAAATACACCAACTACATCTTGGTTTAGATGTCCTCTTATCTTTTTTAGAATAAAGTTCTTATTGTCTTGGGGGCTTGTCTTGGGGGCTCTCTCTGTTGTCCTGATTTACATCTTGCTATCAGACCCAAATGGTTCCAGAGGAGAGAATGAGTCTAGTGACTTTGCACAGCCCTCTCTCACTTAAATCCAATTCACTTGCGTGTCATGGCATCACCTTCCTGATGTCACAGTCCTCTTTGAGAACAAAGGACAAAAATAATGAGAACAACAACAATCTTATTGTCTTAAAAAACTTGGGAAACAGGCATTTATCATTTTTAAAAAATCAGCCCATCATATTGACATTGTGTTATTTTTTCCATATAAGGCCATAAAGTAAATCGTTAATACTCTATTTGTTCTGCAACCAAAACATAAGCTCTTTACTGGAATAAGAAGGGTTTCTGAAGTATGGAAACTTTTTTCCTCACTGGTATGGAATCAAGAATCTAGGTGCTTCACCAAGGACTGGGAAGAGCTGTGGAAACAGGCAACTCCAATTCTTTTTTTTTTTTTGGTTGGGCAATGGGGTTAAGTGACTTGCCCAGGGTCACACAGCTAGTGAGTGTTATGTATCTGAGCCCACATTTGAACTCAGGTCCTCCTGAATCCAGGGCCAGCGCTCTATCCACTGTGCTACCTAGATGCCCCTGCAACTCCAGTTCTTAAAGGGCTCTCAAGACAGCCTCAAGACCTCTAAGACAAGGGCCCCATAAATATACAGTGTGAAATACAAATGATGAAGAGGCTTAAGGCAAGCACTTCATTCTCTGAAATCAGCAAGGCTCTGAGGAATCTGCAGTCCTTTGGTGATATTTGGGCATGTGTTTTGTGGGTTCATTTTTTTAAAGGGTGCTGAAGACTGATTTCTGCAACATCTGATATGGGAGTAAGTCATGTGGTGAGACGTCTGAGGCTCAGTGGAGTCTCTTCAGCCTTGGCACAGCAATTCCTGGCTTTACTTGCTAATCTAACCAATGACCAGTTACTGTAAGGTCACAGGCAGAGCAACTACACCAGTCTTTGAAATAGGTGCAGTAGCAGACCGAAGGGCCAGAGGCGATGACGAAGTGGACCCTTAATGATGCTTCAGTGAATCAGATCTACCATAATGAGGAAGTAAGATAATTAATATTGCTCATGACTAGAATTATAATGACGACCTTGTTCATCTTTCTAGACAACTTAGGGGGTGAGGCCATGACCCTGGCATGAGGAAAAGAGGATCTGTGTCTCTTATTCCAGATCCACCCCAGGCAGGAAACTGGAAGGGATTTTTCAAGTTGGTTAGGCCGCTGGGGAGGGCAGGAGAAAGAATAGCGCACTCGACACACTTTGGTGACTGAACAATCAACTGAATGGATGAGGAGAGCTAGTCTCCCTGCACATGTCCTGCTTAGGATGGTTCTGTGATGTTATCGTGGAGGAGAGGGGGAAGAGCACGATTCAGTCATAATTGGTGAGTTCACCACCTTTCCCCTTACCCAGCCATTAAAAAAAATGCTGTTCCTCCTCTATACCAATGATGTAACAAAAGCAGAACGTGTTCTTGGGATGTGAAGATGATGCTTGGACCTACCATCAGTTGGCTCCATACCCCTTTGGAGTGGGGCTTGTTTGTTTTCTAGGGTGGTACGAAGGTGTTTTCCAAGGTCCTGAAGCAGACAGGCATGTGGACAGGCAGCTGACAAGGCCTCCGGCTGATTGCCACACCCTTAAATTGACCCTTGCAGGCATTCCCAGTAGAAAATGCTTGGCAGGCAGCTTTCCCTGAAGGCCTAACCAATGGAACCAGAGGTCGTGGCTTCATTATCAACTTAGATTTGGCTAGTGCCCTGCTTCTGAGGCAGAAGTGAAAATCGGGGAAGGGAATAAGCATTTATTAGGCACCTACTCTGTTCAGTGTTAAGCAAACATCTCTTAGGAAAAGATCCTCTGACTTGTGTACTCTTTTTCAGCTCTCTCTCTTTCTCCTCTCTCCCTTTTTTTCCCCTATCTTTCCTCTAATTCTAATCAACTTCCCCTGCTCATACATTCTCATACATTCACTTACAGATAGGTGCCCTAAATATACTCTCTACACAGTGGCAGGGAAGGGAACTTTAGAAAACTTCATTTGACAGATAAATATGAAACTAGGGCAATTCTCTACTTAGCAAGCCCTCCAGATGGTAAGCTCCACAAAGAGGGGGAAAATCCTGCTTTCCGAGTCTTCTGTGTGCAGTCGGGACCTTCAGGGAGCTCAAAGACATTTACTCTGAATGCATCTTGTATGACCAATGTTTCCATGTTGTTTCTCTCATTAAAACGCGTCTTCTCTTCTTCGAAGGTAGGGCTGGTGTGTTTGCCTTTCTCAGCCCACAGTACCTGGTGCAACTAGGCAGGCACTTGTGGATTGTAAAATGGGGATAAATAATAATAGCCCCGACCCCCTAGGGTTGTTTGTGACGATTAAGTGAGGTAATATGTAATGCAAGGTAATGGAGGTGATCTCTGGAGGTCTGCAGGCCAGGGAGGTGATCTCAGAGGGAAGGCACTAGGGTTAAAGGGGACTGGGAAAGTCTTCTTGGGTTGAGACTTGAAGGGAGCCAGGGAAGTTAGCAAGGAGAGTGTTTTCCAGGCGTTGGGGGACAGCCAGTGCAAGGGCTCGGAGGGCAGACGGGCCCCAAGACCAGGGTCATCGGATTCCGGGGAGCTCGTAAGGTGAGGAAGCTAAGGGTGAGCGGGATTGAGTGACTTTCCGGGGGTCAAACAGTTAGTGAGTGTCCAAGGCAGGTCTGAATTCAGGTCATCGAGGCTGGCTCTCTAGCCCCTGAGGGGCGACGGTACCTAAGGGAAAGTGACTCAGCCAAGGCTGAACAGCTGTTTTCAGCCCCAGGACGACCTCACGGGGAGGGGGGCTGCCACGCCGGGGGCTCTGTGCCCTGTTGTCTGGAGACCGGGATGCTCTGGAGGGGGAGGGGAAGGGGGGGTGAGGGGATGCTCTGGAGGGGGACGGGAGGAGGAGGTGAGGGACTACTCTGGAGGGGCAGGATGGGGGGCAGGGATGCTCTGGAGGGGCAGGATGGGGGGCAGGGACGCTCTGGAGGGGTAGGAATGCTCGGGAGGGGGAGGGAGGCGAGGGGATGCTCTGGATGGACAGGATGGGGCGGGGCAGGGATGCTCTCTGGAAGGGGAGGATGTGGAGTGGGGTGATGGTCGAGAGGGAGGGGCTCTCCCTTCTGGGCCAGGAGGTTCACCTGCGGTCCCGGGGATCCCTCCCTCATTTCTGGGAAAGCACAAGGACCCTAGTGGGTGGGCGGCGAGCCCACGAACGCCTGCGAACTGTCGCCGTCCCCGGGTCCTGAGTCCCGCCGCCGTAGGACCCGGGTCCGCCGGCTTCCCCGGGGCGCGGCGCCGTCCCTCCCTCCCGGCGCCCCGCCCCTTCTGCGCGCGCCCCCGAGCCCCAGCCCCTCCCAGGGGCGCTCCAACTCGCTCTCTCGCTCTCAGGCGGAGCCGCGCGCGGCCGGCCGGTGGCGGAGGCGGGGCGCGCGCTCCCTCCTCCCTCTCCCCCGCCCAGCCTGCCCGCTCCCCCCTCCCCTCCCCCTGCCGGCCGGGCCTGTCCGCGCGCCGTCAGGGGGAGGGGCCCGGCGGCGGCGGCTGAGCCAATGGGGCGCGGCGGCGTGCGGCGGCGGCGGCGGCGGCAACGGCGGCCGCGGAGGAGGTGGTAGAGGCGGTGGCGGTGGCGGCGTCTGGGGCTGGGCGGGGACAGGCGCTGGGGTCAGCCTGAGGCTGGGTCGGGCCCCGGCGGGCGGCGGCGGCGGCGGCGGCGGTGGCGGTGGCTGAGACGGCGGGCAGCGGCGGCTGAGGCGGCGGCGGCGGCCGAGGAGGATCGGGCGCGGAAGATGGCGGCGCCCGTGCTGCGGGTGTCGGTGCCGCGCTGGGAGCGGGCGGCCCGGTGCGCCGTGTGCGCCGCCGGCATCCTGCTCTCCTTGTACGCCTACCACGTGGAGCGCGAGAAGGAGCGGGACCCCGAGGCGCGGGCCCTCTGCGACCTGGGGCCTTGGGTGCGTTGCTCCGCCTCCCTCTCCTCCAGGTAGGCGGCCGCGGGCCGGCCGGGCGGCCAGGGGGAGGAGGCCCGCGCTGGGGGAGGGGGCGGCCGGGCGGGGCCGGGGCCGAGGCCGCGGCGGACAGGTGTCCCGGCCCCTCCAGCCCGGGGAGGTAAGTGGGGTGGGGGGTGGGGGGGGCGCGGGTGAGGCCGCCCATGAACCCCTCCGCCCCGCCCCCCCCCGCGAGCGTGACCTTGCCCCTCCACGAGACTCTCGGTTGTCCCCCGGACGTTGCGGGTGTCTGGGCAGGAGGCAGCCCATTCTCCTGGCGAAGGACTGAGGACGGCTCTCGGTGCAGCAAGCGGGGGGCCCGTGCGGGACACTGGGGAATCCCGGGCGCCCGTGGGAGGGGCACCTATTCCTCGGAGCTTCTCCCCCCCGAGTTCGGCTTTCTCTCGTGAACAGGTTCCTTTGATTGACTCGCGAGACGCAGACTTGAGGGGATCTCTGGGTGTGGGTGGCCGGGCGTGAGCCGAGGCTCCCGGGGCCGTGCTTAGAGCTCGGGTCGGTTGCCTTTTGGCTCCCTCTGGACTGGAGTGCGTGGACGCTGACATCGGTTACATTTTAAGTAGCATCTTCCGACCCGGTGACCCCTTATGTGCGGTGCCGCAGACGTCGTCTGTGCCCACGGAGCCCAGCTGGCAGTTCTGGGGCTGGGGTTCGGCTTGGAGCTCTGGTCCGCAGGCTCCGAAGTTATCAACTTTCCCCAAGATCACATCCGTTTGGAAGACCACACCAACGAATATGTTATTCTTTTTGGAAATTGACTAAGATGTGCAACATTTATAAAGTAAAAAAAAAAAGTGAAACTGTTTTTATTTCTGTACCCATTTTTCATTTTTGGTCTTACTAGGAATTGATCACAGAAAAAAAATTATCTTATGTCAAAGGAGTAGTGTAATTCTACGTGAAGGTTATCTCTATGAGAGAAAGAACGTGATATAGTGGCTTTCAGTTTGAGTTCGGTTGTCATTAGGCAACCTCTAGCCTCAGTTTCCTCATCTGTAAAATGAGGCTGACTCAATGACTTTTGGGGGCCCTTCTGCTCCAAATCTGTGAAACTTTAGAATGTAGTTTTGTTGTGACTGAAACTAAGGTTACAGAATTATTTGGATGCATGGGGCAGATACGGTTCTCAGGGTTAGGTGAAAAAGAATGAGCATACTTTATGTTAGGGAGAGGCTTGAGCGTTGAGGACCAGGAAATAGGTGAATGGGATTTCACTTGCCATAGAAGTCATGGTAGATGATGAAAAATAGTTTCTTGATAAAAAAGATTTATGAAAGGTCATGTACCATACGTCTCTTCCCCAGTGACTTGATATGCCAATTTAATTTAGTAGTTTGGAGAATTTAGAAGCTTGAACCTAGTTTTATTTAGCCTCTAGAAGTGAATGGAGTGAATGTGGCTGAGAGTTTTCATTTTGCTAAGGTAGAACTACCCTTAAAAACACATGCAGATGGCTCTTTCTTACTTCCAGTTGCTTTTTTTGTTACTTGATTCAGGTATCGTCATCCAGCATGTATAAACAATATCACCGATACAGAAAAGTTTGAGCTCTTAGTAGACTAATAGAATTGGAGAATAAGGGTGAGGAAGGGTAAGATTTAATGAGGATTCTGAGTTCTTTTCCCATCTTCACTCATGTGACTTGGAGTTGCTTAACCTCCCCATCTCAGTTTCTCTGTCTGTAGGTATGCTGTCAGATAAGGATGACGTTCTGATTAGAAACACTCCTGAGATTTTTTTTTTAAACAGCAAAATAGGTAGTCTAGACACCTTTTTGGAGGGCATAGGATGAATCTCAGAGTCTTCACTTGTTTAAGTTTTTCTTAAGATGACAAGGTACACATACTGAATTTAAATTATTTGTGGGCTGTTCAATTGCTGCCCTATGGATGGTCCTTTGTAAGAATATAGCTGAAGACCATTTTAAGCACTTTCAGATGTGTGACATGAGACAAAAATTCGACTACTTCATTGGTGATACCTGAATCGCCTTATATCAAAAAAGTATCAAGTGGTCTGCCTCTTGAGAGAATACAGCTAGGCCAGACAGGACGCTTTTGCGGTGCCTGGAGACAGTCTTGGAAGTTGTTTTCAGAATGGTTAGGTTCATAGAAAGTTTCTCTGGATTGCAAACATTGTGTTGGATTAGTCATCCCCTCTATACGTTTCCCAAAGTAATAGGAAGGGAAAGTGAGATCTATTAAATTGCTTTTGGGCTTGGTGCGGATTCCTTGAGGATCATGGTTAGAAAAGACTTCACTTCATCTAGCCCAACCCCCTCGCATGAGGAAACTGAGGCCTAAGGAGATGAATAATAATAGTAATGACACTTATTGGACAGCTTGACATTACATTTATGGTTTTACCAAGCTGGATTGCCCAGGGCATCCCTTTGACTTGGTGACTAAAATGTATGTTAAGCCCATTTCCCTGTGGAGCCTTTTCTAGTTAAGTGCCTACCGGTCCCTGGGAATAAAAGGATAAAAATGAAACAGTGCCTTGTCCTCAAGGAGCTTCTGTTTAATCATGGGGAGGGAGCAACTGAGACAAATGAAATACAGAGTTATTTGGGAGAGTGGAGGATAGGGAGAGGCAGGCACAGCTTGGAGCATCAGGAAAGGCCTCCTGTGGTTGGTGAGGGTTGAGCAGGGCCTAGAGGGAAGCTGGGGTCATGGCTAGTCTCTGTGTCTGCTTTGAGGGGACCAGGAAGCAGTGTGGTGGAGTGGCTGGAGGAGGCCACTTGGGAGGCCAGACCTTGGGGCTTCAAGCATCACCTCTGCTGCCTGCCTTGGGCAGCTGCAGCTAAGACTGACTTAGAGCCTTGCTGCTCTGCAGTAAGAGATGGTGTTTCTGACACCAGCAAAGTCACAGAGCCAGAGTTTTAGAAAATGTCCATGCCAGGGAATTCCAGCTTGGAACAAGGATTTCCTTTTATTTGCACAGTGAGGTGGCATATGATGACAGTCTGGTTGATGGACTCTTTCTCAGGATAATGTTTATAAGTAATTGGAGAGAATACTAAAAAAATCCAATAGAGGTTAGTCAGACTTGAAGTGGAATTTTCCCCTCATTTGAGTTCACAGACCCCCCTGACATCTATCCATGGAGCCCAGTTTAAGGATCTCTGACCTAAAGTCAGGAAGACTTGAGCTGCCAATATGCAAATTGAGGGAGTTGGCCTGGGAGTTCCTTTCAACTCTTAAACCTGTGATTCTGTGACAACATGAACGGTTCGTTCTAGTGTTTATCTTTGAAAAAAATTAATTAAAAATTTACAGTGTATACGTATGCATATAAATATGTATATAAGTAAAATATACTTGTATATGTCACTTATGTAACCCTTGTTTCTTGATATGGAAACTAAAGGAAAACAGACGAATTCTGCAATTTTAGTGTTAGGAGACTGAAATGAGAGGGAAACGGAGGTCATCGATAGAGACCTGGAAGTGGAAAGAGACTCTTTGGCTTAATCTTCCCATTTTACGGATGAGGAGAATGGGGCTTGGAGAGATCAGGTGATTTGGCCCAGGCAACCCAGGAGGGAAATAGGAAGGGAGGGGACTGGAAGACCTTTCCTCTGAGCTAGTGCTCTTTCCACTGTGCAGACTCATAGCAGCTCTCTTTTCTTCATACTGTTCAGCTTCCAAGGCCTAATGTATCACACTGACTCATAGACATAATGAAGAAATGTTAGGAAGAACTGTTTTATTTCTTGGGTTTGTTGCATTTCAGAATTTGTCTTTTAGGAATCTTTTCCTTTCCATTCAATTGTCATTCAGAAATGTCAGTCTAACAGCCTCACCATTGAAAGTAGAAGTCACACTCGGTAGTGGATCATTTCTCCATAAAGAATATTATAGCATTGCGGTTGCTTTAAAATGTTATTATAAGTAATAATCATAATCTTTGCAAATACAGATATTTGACGTTTGTCTCTTTTCTTGCTTTGTCTGAGACTTTCTGAGTTAGTTTTGTTCAGTTTAATAATTAAAAAAACCCTTTCCATTTATACAGCATATCTAAATGAAGTATTTTGTTTTACCCTTGTTATAGCCCTGTGAGGCAGGCAGGACAAATACTGTTCTCTTTTTTTTACAGAGGGGTGGCCAGTTACTGCAAGTTGTTAGCAGTTCTAGAACTAGAATCCGGGTCTCCTGAATCTTCAGCCCAAGATTCTAAGGCTTGCTAGTTGAAAAGAAGCCAACCATGTTTTATCTAGAATTAAGTGATTGCCACCCTGGGTCTTTAGAGCAGGACTTCTTAAACTTTTTCCACTCTGACTCCTTCAGCGCCTCTTAAACTGTGGGTC